ATGGAGATCCACACCAATTGGACCAAATTAAAAGCCGACTCCACTCCCACGTGGACACACTGTCTGTGTGTGACAGTAGGTGAAAAATAATCCGAAAAAGCAGCTTTGATCCGGGGAGGAGGACAGATTATCTGTTGTTTTCGTGAGACGCTGACATTCACCCAGTTACTCGTTATGACAGCCGACTTACAGCAATCCCCGAAAAAGCATTGGTTCACCAAAAAAAAAAAATGGAGGAGTCTCTTCAACTTTGACGCTAGAACAGCGTCTCAACCTTTTTCTACTACGACTAATGGACCGACCATTTGCTGAGTCCTAACTGAGATCGGGTCTAATGATGGTCATTCATACCGGATAACGATAAAGCCGCAGGACAGAGGAGACCTAACCACCGGACTTGTGTGCGAAAGGTGAAGCGGGAGATGGACGTCGGGTCCGAAGCATCAAGTAGGGTCATAAAATAAGGTTACACGTGAAAGAATTTCAGCTACGAAAACTAGTTGTCCTATCTGGAAAAATGGAGTGGAACGTTGAATGAAATGTAACTTCAGGCTGAAACGAGTGACAATACGATTTTCCGCAATCTGAAACATTTTTGGTTGTGTTTATAAAGCTCTGAATAGACGTTTGGGCGAAAAAATCAAAAACCATGACTAATATAACCGATTATTCGAAGCAAATTACCATATTGTGCTACATTTTTACCCTGCAATGCTCAAGCATGAAACAACGACGATTTTGTACAACGCAGTCGACGATGCGTGTATATTATACTCAATTTCAACGAGAGCCGTTTCCGGGTTCCATATCATGAACGACCTAATTTAGAAAATCAAATTGTTTCGACCACGACAATGTGNGGAACGAGTAAGAAGTGATTTTTCGTCCCGGGCTCGGTAGAAAAAAAAACTAAAAGGATGTGTAAAGTTTGTGATTCCGACCCTTGCTTATATCGAGTTTCACATTTGATCAATAAAACAGTAAATCTTAAGTAAAATGCGCACAAAGCCAAACCTGCGTGGGGCGTTTAGATGGTTGCACACCAGCTTCTTTGAATAACTGAATCACCAGGTCCGGACGATCCGACGGGAATAGGCCTTCGAGGCCACGTACGACGTGCTTTTGGCTGCAACCAGAAATAACCGGATTAGGATTCGGAATTTTCACAAAGACACTAAACAACAGCATTCTGTATAACAAAACAAAAAGTTGTTTCCCCCGGAGTTTCGATCACACTCTGCTGTCATTTGAAATTTATGAACAAATACAGCTAAGGAAATAGAATTCATAATTTTTTGCTTTTGAACAACCGTTTATAACGGAACCAAGCGTGTATTTATTCCTGTGTTCATAAACCGACTTGCACATTGCTTATGATAACGAAAAAATCTTTTCCATAAATATATATAAGTNAAGTCGATCATAAAACTGATATCTGACTGGCTGATTACAGATCAGTTTACAATGATCGTCACCATCTGATGTGACATACTGAGAACTTTTTTCGCAAATACGGTTTTCTACATATTCTCTAAGAATATTTTACGAACAAACATCTTTAATTCCTTTTTTGTTCTATTGAATACGCCAACTTTCCGGAAGGGAGCGATGGTCAATTTACGGCTGCATACAAGCATACCCGGTGTGAGAGGGACGAAGATGGGTGGCCGAATTCGGACATAAAAGTGCCGCTGTGATGATAACCCGAACAACAACCTGAGCGCGACCACTGAATATGTCACAAGCTGTGGGACTTACCACATCCTCTAGGTATCAAGGAATGAGCAGAATAAATCAATCTGTTACATGGTTGTCCCAGTCCTATGCGAATTTACAAATGTCAAGGTTGTGTGTGTGTGTGTGCTGACCTTGGGAGTTTGATGTTCTACTTGCTTCGAACTTTTGATTTGCTGATAGTAAGATTTGAAAATATGCAATCAACGCGGTGTGAAGGAGAGAATTGTTTCCTTTCAAAGTGTACTGGGGTAGCAATTATTAGTACGGAGTGAGACAGAATATGGCAAGTTGTGGTTAGCTTACACAAACTGAATCAGTGAGCAGAAATCTGTGAAACCAAATCAAATTGGGAATGAACGTTGAGGTAGGAGACAGAAAAACCTAACGAACAGGAGAACCTTATCAACAACTAAAAAACTATTATCAAGTAAATACCACACAATACGACCACAGTGCTAGACGAAGTGGACTCAAGTTAATGAGTGAATGCATGCATGTGAAACAAAGGAATTCAATTAGCTCGAAATTTACCGGAATTGGAAAGCGTTCCGAACCAATTTTTCCACATAGGGAAACGGAACTGGGATAACCGGTTGAGCAAGCGGAGTGAGACGGACCAAGGCAGCATCCACTTTGGGTTTGGGCAGAAATGCTGTACCGGGGATTTCTTTCAGATATTTGACCTGGTCAGTGTGGACGTAGGGTTGAGCAGGACAGTAAATGATGAACTAATGAAATGCTGTACGATACCAGAATGGAAGAGAGTTCACTGATAATAAGGGGAATCGTCAAATTGACTGAATGCATTATCCTCTATCTCAGTGGGGGACTGCTTTACCCAGGCTGGATGAAATCCCAGACCCGTGCAGTAACGGACATCCATAAGGTAGATCGTTTTAGCACTATGATTCTACTACGGATCAAGACTTTATGTCGTATTTGCCAGAGCTGCACTGTTAGATCTGGTGACCGACAGATCACACGTTGCGTTGTGCATCATTTTATACCGGGCAATAATTAACAAGACCGATTCCACATTGGATAGAGGTCCTGGGGTATAGAAAAATATTGCTCTTGCGGTTACAACTGATAAAGATGAACACGGACAAAAGTTTCATCGAACATCTCACAGACTCGTAAACCGTCAGTCGCGGTTTACGACCTTCATTCGTTATTCTTTAGGTCTGATTTTTTCAATTAAACGGACGATGTATAATCAACTTTCAGGATGGGGTAAGTGATCCAAGGAATAAGTGTCATTGGATACATTAAAATGGAAGCTAAGCCGTGATGGAAAGTTTTTAACGCAAACTCCGAGGTGGTGGTCCTATTCCACACTGCTTAACCACCAGCTATCATGCAATAACTCGGAATGAACAAATAGCGCGGATGCCTCTTCTTCTAAATGATGGCAACTGGTTTTAAAGATGTGAACGATAATTAATTTTCAAAGTCACAGAGAAAATTCTAAGTAGTTACAACCGAGTTGGAGATGGAGTAATCCGTGAGGGCCACAGTTGAAGTGTGATAATCGGAATGCTTCAGAGTCGCATAGGGTGACAAAATATACTTTCCCGGATTAAAGGCAACTTTTGCCATTATAAACAAGTATTACTATACTTGAGAGTAAGCTATGCGTAGGAGAAGTGAACTAGTACCTAATCATTTACAGGAAATGCCACAGCCCGGACAAATCTCGGGAGGTGGATGTGGAGTGTGAGGTCAGAAGGCTATCTGGATCTAGAAGATGAACCTCAGCATCAATAAAAGTTTGGAGATAACTAATTGTCGAAAGAAACGACAAACAAATGTCCTGGTTGAAACCTGCAAAGCCCGACACCTTGTGTAATCACTAACCCTACATTTTCGTGCGCCAGTTTTGGATGCTTTCTTTTACCTGTCTCTTTAAATGAAACAGCAGAAGACTGTTAAAAACATTATCAAGTGCGTAATTCTGGNAGAACAAGGTTGCGAAGAGATTGAAAAGATGCAGAAACGTCATTTTTCCGACACTCAGCTATATTTTCAGTGCCTCTAACCATTGGTTACGCTGATCCCGAGGTCCCCATCCACGAAGCCTAACGTTAACGTGTTTGATGGTCAGGATTTTCGCAACTTCATAACCACTCACAATTTGACCATCTTCGACCTTCTTTCACTCACTAGTTACTTTGACGCACATCGCAGGTCACGGTTATCCATTTGATGAT